CACCCCGAGATTGTAAGTTGCCCGTATCGAGACTTCAAACGGGCGGCGTAGCGGAGAAAAGGCCGACATTGTAAGTTGCCCGGATCGAGACTTCAAACGGGCGGCGTAGCGGAGAAAAGGCCGACATTGTAAGTGCCCGTATCGAGACTTCAAACGGGCGGCGTAGCGGAGAAAAGGCCGAGATTGTACCGATCCCTTGCGTTCCCGTGCAATGCTGAGTCAGATCTTTGTCTACGTTTCACCAAATCTCATCTAGTCGTGGTCTCGAGCCACCAGGCACCACCGCTCACGCTGGTGCGCTTTTCGGCCAGAGGGGCCAGTCCCCTCCGCGCGCCGCGGTGTGTGCGTGATGACAGGCAGCGTGCGGCCTGCTTTCAGCTACTTGTGCTTTGGTGGATTGTTCATTAACACCTTTGGGTTACTTTCACATACAGCTGTGATCGTTTGTGGGTCGGACCCTCTGATGAGTCGTGTTTTACCCCTCATATAGTGAGTTTAGAAAGTATTGACAGAGCATTGTAAAGTAATTTTGATACAGTATTTTTATACACTTTCTCAAAGGAAACGGAGAGCCTTACTAAGAATCTTAATTGCTTTTTAGATAATTTATCTGTGCACTATGCTCTGCCAATCATTAATTGTGTGATACACTTTAAGTTGCTCAACTTTCATGGGTTCCTAGTGCATACAGTACGGAATTTAATATGACATGATATAGTTTGTATGTATGTGTGTGTGTATATATATATATATACACACACACATACACACACACACACAATCTGAGAGCCATATGCAAATGTGAGGTTTGTACCACCCACTTGTAAATAAATGTAAATTCTATATCTCTGGGGGAAATGTTTTAAGTGCCACATTTTAACAAAATTTAAATAAACTGGAGAATGTTTTATATATATACATATATATATATAAATATATATATTAAAGATAGTGACCAAAGCAGAACACACAAGCATGCCCTGTACAGCAGTGATTCAAGGTATCTGGTAACTTTTTTAAAAGGAGCATTTTGTACGTTACTGTGCAGAGAGCTGAGCCGTGTGTGAAAGTAACCTACTGGGCTGAGTGTTGCACTACCCTGATTAATAAATACTGGTTGAAAAAGTATATTTTCTATAAAACACATGTATCTATAAAGATTAAGGGCAGATGATAATTCACTGGTTTATGGCTTTCATTAAGATGTTTGCTTATGTAAATGTAATCCCATGTAAAGAGTACACAGTGTGTTTAAGAGTTTTCTATTCCTCCTGTAGTAAATATGTTGATCTTTTCATCCATTTGATTAAATGTTGGACTGTGTTTGTGTGGTACTTTCAAAAATGCCATTAGTTGTATTCCCTGGGTATAAGGTGAGGTGTCACACTTAACGCAGTCCAAGTGAACAGTCCTATAATAAATAAAGCCGCTTTTTCATTTCCGTGTTGTTTTAACGTCTTTTATTGGTTTCATTTTCTTTTAAGCCGTTTTCTACTCCACAGACTTGCTAAAACTGAACGTGCTGTTTCAGTCCAAACAGCGTAGCTATTTTTAAGCTGAACGTTACCCCCTGTAGCAATAAAGTCCATTTAATGGCATTTTATACTGTATTTTAACTTTTTAAAATGTTATGGTGGGTCTTTGGGCATATGACCCAAAACATTTTAATATGCAGGAAGAGACACAAACCAGGTCCAGTCACTGATTAACCAGTACAGGTGGTGATTAACAGCTGCTCCCTATCAATGGCCTTGCTGGGCTTCTCTCTCTGCAGCCCCCTGCTTATATAAGCCTCCCTGCGATGGGCGTCTCTCTGCATTTGCTGTACAAATTGGCTAACAGATGGTAACACAATTCAGCTGCACAACCCTCCTATTCGTAAAATGGCTTCCAGGGTTCATCTACGGCTGTCTTTGTGTAAAGAAAAAAAATATTAAAGTTTAAGATTTAATCAAAAACAATATTCAACAGTCAAAATGGACAGGGGAGAGGGCGAAAAATTAAGCTAAAAAAAATTAAGTTAGTATGCAAAATATAAAATACAAAATATAAACTTTTACTTAAAAAAATTTACCCCAAATGTATTTACAATGTTAATATGATCAAAGTATCTGCTACTTCACATGCCGTCCTGCAACATTAATTTAATGTTTAAAGAGGCTTATGCACGACCCAAGGAGTCTTTCTTCACACTGAACTCCCCCACCCCCCATTCCCAGGCTACATCACTGTAAATAACCAAACAAGATTTGTCAAAATGAAATGTACAAATATTTCAGAACATTTGAAAAGGTACGTTATTTCTAAGGATTTTCATCAGAATTTGATTATTCGTAGTAGTTCTAAACGAAGGAGCACAAGCGATGAAGAGACGCACAGTCAGTACATGTCACACCTGGGGACCTGCCTGTCTGCACGGTCACCTCAGATGGGGTGGTGACACAGAGACAAGGCTCCCCTGTCGCCAAGCAACCGTCCTCCCCATAATGACCGGGCCTCTGTGAGACGCCCGGAAACAGTGGCAGTGCTCAGGTGACCGACGTGGGAGGAGCTGTGCTGAACGACAGTGAGGGCTGGGAGGGGAAATGAGAGGCCAGGCGTGATGGCATAGACACACACACACATGTGCAGAGAGGCCTCCTGAAGGCCAGCGCCCCCTAGGGACCGAGCGCGGCCCAGTCCGCTCATACGAACTCCACGTAATTCTCCGGTATCAGGCCCGTCTTCCCCTCCAAGGTTCCTTCCAGCCATCCAGGCTCCCGCGACGGGTGAACTGCGAGAGAAGCCGGTCACATGTCACTGACACACCACTTGTGTGACACCTCAACGAAACTGCTGCAATTCCTTATGTCAATTTCAAATTCAATGTTTGTTTAGTTTTAAAAATAATGAGGAAACACCCAGGCTAAAACCTTGGCCAAGTCCTTCCCTGAACGAGACCCTACAGCACAGCGAGACTGCGAGAGCCGCACGGCCCCCAGCTCCAGCGGCGCCATGTTTGCCAGGAGAACAGTATGGGAGTCACAAGGGGGCGGGGCTTTACCTACTGACCAGGGGATTGGCTGAATGGCTACTTTAAGGTGCCTGGCCAGGACCGGCTGTCCTGCAGTGGGACAGTGCGTCACAGTGACGACTCCCCGTCATGAGAGGCGATCACAGAAGCCGCGACGAGGTTGAAAGGAATTACCTCGTCTGTCAGTGTTTCAAATTTAAGTAACTATCATAAAATAAGGCTTGTTAGAGTAAATGCATGTTTAAATAATGAAATAATATTTCTACTTGCTGGCTGACTTGTCTGTCTCATTTGATACATAGTAACAAGCTGTCAGCTCTGACTATAGGACTGAAGTCAGTATCTTTCTGGACCCTTTGTGCCAAGTGGCTGGTTTGGTGAACACACACACACACACAGTCTCTCAAAGACACTCACCGTTTTCAAAGATGGCGCCCGCGGTGAAGGAGAGCTCAGACGGGTGCTCCGCCTTGCACGCGTACAGTGCTCTGGCCTTCCGTGCCACAGGGCTGTAAGGGAAAGAAATTCCCACAGAATAAATCTCTCTGTCTAAGGCTGTGTGGGTGCAGCATCCTGCCTACGCTCTGGGGGTGTGGAGTTTGCAGGACCTCCCTGTGTGGTTGGGGGCTACCTCTGAGCACTGCAGATACCACTCTCAGTCCAAAGACATGCATCTCTCATCTGGCTGTCAGCAGCCATAGCACCTGCAGGTCAGCCTATGTCAGCCATCTGCATCTGCTTAGCCTATGTCAGCCAACTAAGCAGGTTTGGGCCTGGCCAGTTCTTGGATGGAAGATTAACTAGGAAAGCTGGGATGCTGCTGAAACACGTGTTGGTGTGGCCAACAGGTTGGCCCATCACTGGTCTGTGTGGATCCCAGTGCCATAGTGCAGTGATGGGGACACTGTGCTGTAAAAATGATGCTGTTCAGATGAGATGTAAAACTGGTCATAAAAGACCCCTGGGATTATTTCAAGAGAGTAGGGGTGGTACCCCGATGCCCAGTAGCTAATCCTCCCCTGCCCCTTCACCACCTTAGCTAGTGTGTGGTGAGCGTACTGGTGCAGAATGGCTGCCGTCGCACCATCCAGGTGGAGGTGGATGAAGTGCCTCCTCATTGGTTCTGTAAAGTGCTTTGGGTGTTTTGAAAAGCGCTATATGAACTTTCATTCATTCACGGTGTGTGTGCCCTGCGGTGGGCTGGGAAGCCCTGTGTTCTCTGGGCGAAGATCCTGCTGAATCTCAGGACACCGCTTTGTGGTTGATGTGTTATCGTGTCAAGCACCAAGAGTCTCTAAGATGACCTCTTAAGAAGGTCTATCACTTAGGTGCTCAGAGATTGCCCCGCTCTCGTGCAGTCTGCTAAGTAAGAGCAGCAAAGTAATGTGTCTCAAATGAACACGAGACAGAAGCATCCGCCTCTGTGGGAACATAATGAAAACAAAACAATCCACATTCTGTGCTGATCGCAAAATTAAATAAACCATCCCTCCATGCACCTGTAATTAAACCGTCTAAGCAAATCTAATTTGTCCTGTCGACAGGATGAATCACCTTCTGTTTTCAGGGCCTACTTCTGCCATCTGCAGGCACCGTGTGACCCCTCAGAGTCACCAAAGCAGGGAGTCACAGGCCAAGGTGACGGCGCTGGCCCCCTGCAGGGAATGGCTTTTATTTCCAGCTCATGGAGCAGCACGTGGAAAGAACTCAGGGCTATGAGAAAAATGGCCAGTGATCTGCCCAGATACTAATGGTTGGTACATGAGGATCCACTGAGAATGCAGGTGTACAGCAGGAATTAAGGGGGAACAGGAACATGTCTGGAGGAGCCTGTGGGTGCGGAGCGGGCACAGAGCGGGCACAGAGACACACCTGACCAGGGAGCAGTCGCTGGAACCCGGCTGGGGGCTGGAGGGAGCGGAGAACATGGGCCAGGAGGGGGAACGTGGGGAGGAGGGGCTGGGGGAGGCCGGGCTGCAAGACACAGGCGAGAGAGCAGTGAGACGCCAGCTGGCCAATGCAATGGCAGGGTGAGGTCAGGTGGTCAGTCGCTAGGATACAGAATATCCTGCATAATTACCGCGACTGCCAGGATAACCAGAGCAGCTCCAATCAGGCTTAAGCCGTAATAAAAACATCCCAATTTCAGTCATCACAATTTTGGATGAAAATGTGCTGAAAATAAAACCGCAAAAGCCAGCGTTTGAAAGGCAGAAGCACACGGACAACCACAGCATGGGAAGCAGGAATGATGTACCCAGCTAAGCCAGAACTTTCCAAGGGACTCGCTGTACCCCACCCCTCAAAAAGCTACAATCAGCCAAAAGCCCCCCCGCCAAGATGCACTGAGACTCGTAACTAATGCAGCACCGCAGTCAACGTTTACAGGGAAGGACGTTGGCGCGTGACGGTGACGCGTGATGCGTGGCCGCCAGTATGAGACCAGTATGAGACCAGTATGAGACCCTCACGCAGGCGAGGCTACAGCAGGGTCACTACTGCTCATGAAGTCTAACACTACAGGAAGACACTTCTGTCAACTGATAGGAAATATGAAAACTGATGCGAAAATAAGAAAAAAATTTAATTTAACAAAAACTATGAATATTACTTTCAAAACTAACAAATAATATAAAAACAAACATCAAATACGTTTCATTACTATTTTGTAATGCCATTAATTAATGATCCGTTAATCTTTCCTGCTTAATGGCGCCACGCGTTCGGCCTCTTTTGCACAACGAGCCTCAGAAACAGCCAACAGCACTATACTGCGACGTTTTGTAGTGGCTAGCTAAGTCCTACAACTAAATATATATAAACTAAACTAAAAACATATAAAATTATCTATAAACGAATCAGAATTATGTATTTTAAATGAAGACTAAACCCAAAGCTATAACAACACTGGGTCTCGGCTGCAGTCACCCCGGACCAGGTGACCGCCATCAGGCCTGAGCGTGGGCCTTCGGGACCAGCTCACGACTTTCAGGGACAAGAACAATCGCCGTCTGATGGGGAGCATCTCTAACAACAAAGAGCAGCTGTGTGACTGGGTGTAGCGAGGGCAGGAGAGCCCCCCCTAGAGGCTTCCCTGGGTACATCAGCCGTTAGCACACCATCACTCATCAGGCTCCTTGCAGGGGCCATGTCCGCCTCTGCCTGTTGTCTGGGGGCCACAGATGGGACAGCCACCAAAATGGCGTCCAGCAAGCCTTTGAACCCACGATAGATTTGCTCTCTATACCCAATCTCCGAAGATATGCGATATGTCCCTGGTTGCACATAAATGTTTGTGAAGAGCTCAGGAAAACAGGCGGTCTACAGGCCAGCGTGTACCCCCCTCCCACTCCTACCTTGTGGGGACACTGGAGCGGCTCTTTGGGTTCACCCTGCAAAGTAAGCAGTAAGACAGGAGAGGTTAGGTTCGCATCAGGCAGGAGGGCGCCCCCGTCTGGCCCAGCCTGGAGCACCGGCCTCTCGCCTTCCGGCCAGCGTCTCATTCCAGTGCTTCAGTTTTATCTCAGATCTTTGCAACAATGTGCTTATGATACTGAAGGTTAATGCTGTTCACCAGGCGCATTGTGTCACAACAGAGTGTTTTGAACCTCTGAAGAGAGCAAAAGGACTGATGGATGCAGTCAAACATACTGGGAGAGAAGATCTCTAGCGAAAAGATACATATGGAGGGTTTCATTCCCGCTCCGTCTCCTGTGAGCCTGATATTTCCATCAGACATTACTAATCGAAACGGCATCTAACTCCACCCTTAAGACCCATCAAGTTTTATTGGGCCACATCAGTCACTGCTTCAATGACGTCGGTGGATGAGCAAATAACGGTAAGGAGCCAGACACACCATGTATTAAAATACTGCTTCCTCCTGAGCTGCCCTCAGCTAAATGACTCACAGGTTCATGCTATGATAAATCGAGACTGTGTCAAACACCCAGAAACACCTCAGTCAGCAGAGACTTCTGCATAATTACTGATAATAATCAGCATAACAACACCAGCCCGGACAGTCGCCTTTGCAGGATCACGAGTGTTCCTGCAAACTAAAGATTACAATCTTTAACCTTGTTATAATCTATAATGTTATAATGGACACTGTAGATGTCAAAGGATGAATTGTAATACATGTGGCCTGTGATACCGGCACCCATCCACCCGCTAATCGAGACCAGGACCACGAGACCGTGGATATCGAGGACGGGACGCCGGGCCATCGCAGGGTCTGCAAGATCATGGAACGGCAGAGTCGTCAGGGAGCGCAGGGCTGCACGCATCACACAGAAGGGTCAGCCAAAGTCTCAGTGTTTGTTTAGGAGCGCAGACAGCAACTTCCCTTTGCAGGGACATGCGGGAATGGGGGGGGGGGGGGGCTGGGATAAACTGGCACACGTGAAACACAGAGACAGGAGCAAATAGGAACACACCATGCAGAGACAGGAGCGAATAGGAACATGCCACGCAGAGACAGGAGCGAATAGGAACATACCACGCAGAGACAGGAGCGAATAGGAACAGATAGGGAACTATAGTCATAGGTAACTGAACACCTACATCACACAAGCCCAGGGCTGCACCCTCTAAAACAAACCCCATCTTTCATGATCTTGATGTTCATTTCTCTACTTAATGACATACTTTCATCTGCCCAATATTTACACAGACAGACAGGCAGACAGACACACAAAATAGCTCCCCGAACTTCGATGAAGTTTCTCACATGCCGATCTTAATGGAGTCATTCCGTTTACATGGCATTTGAGGAATGGGGTTACCGGTCATACACTGATCATGATCTGGTTAATAAAGCATGTGAATGCACTGAATGACAGTATGACTGGCCTAAGTGACAAGCTAGTGGGCTGGCTAAATTATGGATCAACTAATGAACCTTAATTTTATTAGCTCTACGAGACTTACGCTATGACCATTGGCTGTCTGTAACATGTAAAAACACCAACTCATATGTTCACAATATGGCTCTAAAATAAGTTCTGTTTGCACTGGCATGCATTGGGCTTGCTTGTCATCACAGAAATAGATCGGAAGATCTGCTCGCCAGAGCTGCTTCGCTCTGTACATGCCTTCCTCTGTGCCTGTCTGTGTCACGGTAGCCCTTCCTCTGTGCCTGTCTGTGTCACGGTAGCCCTTCCTCTGTGCCTGTCTGTGTCACGGTAGCCCTTCC